GTGGGTGACGGGGTGAGGGTGTGGGTGGGTGAGGGGGTGAGGGTGTGACAGTGAGGATGTGGGTTAGGGTTAGGAGGTCTAAGGGGTGAGGTAGGTGAGTCGGGTGTTTAGTGTGATGACAGGGAGATGACTGAGAGCGAGAGGGAGGGAGGTGGAAAGGGAATGACAGGGACCCCAATGGAGATACAGCCTTTCACTTACCGGGTTGCCTTTTGGCCCATCGTCTCCTGGTGGCCCTTTGGGACCAGCCGGACCAGCTGCCCCTGGAGGACCTGCCTCTCCCTTGTCTCCAACATCGCCTTTCGGTCCCTGAAACAGAGAGACACAAATTACTGATAATTGTACTGGAGGGGGAGCAGAGGGACATTCACCAGCGACAGAGAGAGGCTGGATAATCTCAGGCTCTTTTCTTTGGAGCAAAGAAGGTTGAGGGGGGACCTGATAGAGGTCAGAGAATGCTGAGGGGTGACATAATGGAGGTATACAGAATTGTGAGGGCTAGAGGTAGAATAGACAAGAGGAACTTGTTTCCCTTGGCAGAATGTTCAAAAACTAGGGGTCATAGATTCAAGAGGCAGAAGAATTAGAGGGGACATGAGCAAAAACATTTTCAGGCAGAGGATGGTGGGCATTTGGAATTCGCTGCCTGAGTTGATGGTGGAGGCAGACACCATAAGCTCTTTCAAAAAGTACCTGGATCTTCTCCTTAAGTGCTGTAAGCTGCAGGGCTATGGGCCATGTGCAGCTAGATGGGATTCGAAAGGGCACCTGGGTGTCTTTGGGACGACATGGACCAGGAGGGCTGAATGGCCACCTTCTGTGCTGTATCATTTCTATGGATCTGGGTGTATAAGATTATGAGGGGCATGGACAGAGCAAATAGAAAGCAGTTGTATCCCTTAGTTAAAGGGTCAATAACAAGGGGACATCATTTTTAGCTGAAAGACATGAGGTTTAGAGGGGATTTGACAAAAATCCTTTCACCCTGAGGGTGGTGGGGGTCTGGAATGTGCTGCCTGGGAGGGGAGTTGAGGCAGGAAACCTCACAGCCTTTAACAAGTACTTGGATGAGCATTTGGAGTGTCATAATATCTAAGGCCTGAGCCAAGTGCTGCAGTGTCGGACTTTGTAGATTTAAAATAGTTTCTGTTGGTGCAGCCTCAAAGGGTTGAAAGGCCTCTTCTGTCCTGCGTGATTTTATGACCGTATGATCTTGTAGATGGTACACACTACTGCTTCTGAGCATCACTGCTGGAGGGATTGAATGTGTAGGTGGTGGATTTGGTGAATGTTCTTAAATAATTGAGCTAGCAGTTCTAAAAAAAAATTGTTCTGTGCTGTGGAGAAGTTGGGATTGTTCTCCTCAGAACAGAAAAGGTTCCTGGGGATTTAATCAAGGTGTTCAAAATCATGGAGAGAGTTTGATCGAACAAATCAGGGGCAGGAGGCTCTAGTGAGCAGAGGGAGACAGATTGTAGGGAATTGGGAGATGAGGGGATTGTTTTACACAGTGAGTTGTTGGGATCTGGAATGTGCTGCCTGAAAGGGCAGTGGGAGCAGATTCAATCATCACTTTCAAACATGGAATTGGGGGAATACTGGGAAAGTATTTCCCAGAGCTGTAGGGATGGTGTGGCGGAGGTGGATTAATTGGGTAATATTTAAGGAGCCAGCACAGGAACATTGGGTTAAAGAGTCTTCCTCATGGCTGTGAATGGAACATAGGATATTCAGTGGACATTGGTGAGGCCACTTTCAGAATAGTACATACAATCCTGGTTGCTCTTCTATAGGAAGGATGTTGTGAAACTTGAGAGGATGCAGAAAAGATTTACAAGGATGAGGCTGGATAGGCCAGGGCTATTTTCCCTGGAGCGTGGAGGCTGAGGGGTGACCTTATGGAGGTTTATAAAATCATGAGGGGCATGGATAGGTTGAATAGGCAAGGTCTTTTCCCCAGGGTGGGGGGAGTCCAAAACCAGAGGGGCATAGGTTTAAGGTGAGAGGGGAAAGGTTTAAAAGGGACCTGAGGGGCAACTTTTTCACATAGGGGATGGTGCATGTATGGAGTGAGCTGCCAGAGGAAGTGGTGGAGGGCTGGTACAATTACAACATTTAAAAGGCATCTGGATGGGCACATGAATAGGAAGGGTTTAGAGGGATATGGGCATCACCCTTGCTTCTTTTACAGTTCTATGTCCTCTCATTCTCCTTTTCTTTTGCGAGTGAGAACAGCTTCTCCCTATTTATTCCATCTAGCCCACTCATGATTTTGGAAAACTTTCTCAAATCTCCTCTAAGCATTTTTCAACTTATCCCAATAATTAAAGTTTCTCGTTCCTGAAACCATTATTGTGAATTGTTTCTGCATCGCTTTTTCATGCACTCACAACTCGCATATAATGTCGTACCTACAACTGTTCTCCAGCCAATGTCTAACAAACCTCTTGTACAAGTTCAGCATCACCTCCTTGCTCTAGTACTCTATGCCCCTATTAAGTCATGAACATTCCATGCTTTATTTACTGTTCTCTCCATCTGTCCTGCCACACACAATGATCTGTGCACATATGTATGCATTACCTCAAACTTCACTGCATTGAATGCCATCTGCCACCTATCTGCCCACTTTACTAACTTTTCAATGTTCTTTCAGAGTTCCACACTATCATAGAGTCATAGAGTTATACAGCGTCGAAACAGACCCTTCCATCCAACTCATCCATGCCGACCAGATATCCTAAACTGACCTAGTCCCATTTGGCAGCATTTGGCCCATATCACTCTATAAACCTTTCCTATTCATGTGCCCATCCATGTTGCAACTGAACCAGCCTCCATCACTTCCTCTGGCAGCTTGTTCCATACACACACCAACCTCTGTATAAGAAATTTGCCCCTCAAGTCTCTTTTAAACCTTTCCCCTCTCACCTTAAACCTGCGCCCTCTGGTTTTGGACTCCCCTACCCTGGGAAAAAGGCCTTAGCTATTCACCCTATACATGCCCCTCTTGATTTTATAAACCTCTATAAGGTCACCCCTCAGCCTCTGACGCTGCAGGGAAAATAGCCCCAGCCTATCCAGCCTCTCCTTGTAGCTCAAACCCTCCAATCCTGGCAACATCCTTGTAAATCTTTTCTGAATTCTTTCAAGTTTCACAACATCCTTCTTGTAGCAGGGAGACCAGGACTGAATGCAATATTCTAAAAGTGGCCTAGCCAATGTCTTGTACAGCTACAACATTACATCTCAACTCCTATACTCAGTACACTAACCAATAAAGGCAAGCGTACCAAATATCTTTTTCACCGCCCTGTCTACCTGTGACTCCACTTTCAAGGAACTATGCACCTGTACCCCAAGGTCTCTTTGTTCAGCAAAGGTCCTACCATTAAGTATATAAGTCCTGCCCTGATTTGCCTTTCCAAAATGCAGCACCTCACATTTATCTAAATTAATCTCCATCTGCCATTCCTCAGCCTATTAGCCCATCTGATCAAGTTCCCTTTGTACTCTGAAATAACCTTCTTCACTGTCCACGACACCTCCTATCTTAGTGTCCTTCTCACAGTTTACAATTCTCCCAATTTTTATGTCAACTGCAAACGTTGAAAATGTCCCTTGTGTACCAAGATCCAAATCATTAATATATATCAGGAAGAGCAAGGGTCCCAGTACCAACTCCTGGAACTCCAACTGAGTTCTGAGGGAGGATCACTGGACCCGAAACGTTAATTCTGTTTTTTCCTTCACAGATGTTGTCAGACCTGCTGAGCTTTTCCAGAAACTTCTGTTTTTATTCCTGATTTACACCATCCACAGTTCTTTCAGTTTTTATCTAATCAAGTAACACAGCTTCATAAAAGGAAAATCATGTCTTAACTAGAGTGGATCGAGGGGAACCACTAGATGTGATGTATTTAGATTTCCAGGAGGTGTTCGACAAGGTACCTCACCAAAGGTTATGTAGTAAGATAGGAGCTCGAGGTGATGTTGGCATGGATAGAGAATTGGCTCATGGGCAGGAAACAGCGAATGGGGATAAACAGTTCTTTTCCAGGTTGGTGACCCGGGACCAGTGGGATTCCACAGGGTCCATAACTATTTACAATATATATTAATAACTTGGAGGAAGGAAATAAATGCACTGCAGCCAAATTTTCAGATGACACTAAAAATAGGTGGAAAGGCAGGTTATGAGCAGGATACAGTTTCCACAGAGAATTGACAGGTTGAGTAAGTGGGCAAAGAATTGGCAAAAGAACAAAGAACAAAGAAAATTACAGCACAGGAACAGGCCCTTCGGCCCTCCAAGCCTGTGCAGATCCAGATCCCTATCTAAACCTGTCGCCTGTTTTCCAAGGATCTGTATCCCTCTGCTCCCTGCCCATTCATGTATCTGTCTAGATATATCTTAAATGACGCTATCGTGCCCACCTCTACCACCTCCACTGGCAATGCGTTCCAAGCACCCACCACCCTCTACGTAAAGAACTTTCCACGCATATCTCCCTTAAACTTTTCCCCTCTCACCTTGAAATTGTGACCCCTAGTAATTGAGTCCCCCACTCTGGGGAAAAAGCTTCTTGCCATCCACCCTGTCTACCTCTCATGATTTTGTAGACCTCAATCAGGTCCCCCCTCAACCTCCGTCTTTCTAATGTAAATAATCCTAATCTACTCAACCTCTCGTCATAGCTAGCGCCCTCCATACCAGGCAACATCCTGGTGAACCTCCTCTGCACCCTCTCCAAAGCATCCACATCCTTTTGGTAATGTGGCGACCAGAACTGTATGCAGTATTCCAAATGTGGTCGAACCAAAGTCCTATACAACTGTAACATGACCTTCCAACTCTTGTACTCAATACCCCGTCCGATGAATGAAAGCATGCCATATGCCTTCTTAATCACTCTATCCACCTGCGTTGCCACCTTCAGGCTACAATGGACCTGAACACCCAGATCTCTCTGTGCATCAATTTTCCCCAGGGCTTTTCCATTTACCATATAGTTCGCTCTTGAATTGGATCTTCCAAAATGCATCACCTCGCATTTGCCTGGATTGAACTCCATCTGCCATTTCTCCGCCCAACTCTCCAATCTATCTATATTCTGCTTCATTCTCCGACAGCCCCCTTCACTATCTGCTACTCCACCAATCTTAGTGTCATCTGCAAACTTGCTAATCAGACCATCTATACCGTCCTCCAGATCATTTATGTATATCACAAACAACAGTGGTCCCAACATGGATCCCTGTGGAGCACCACTGGTCACAGTTCTCCATTTTGAGAAACTCCCTTCCACTACAACTCTGTCTCCTGTTGCCCAGCCAGTTCTCTACCCATCTAGCTAGTACACCCTGGACCCCATGTGACTTCACTTTCTCCATCAGCCTACCATGGGGAACCTTATCAAACGCCTTACTGAAGTCCATGTATATGACATCTACAACACTTCCCTCATCTATCGACTTTATCACTCTCTCAAAGAATTCTATCAAGTTGGTAAGACATGACCTTCCCTGCACAAAACCATTTTCTTCCAAATGTAAATAGATTCTATCCCTCAGTATCTTCTCCAGCAGCTTCCCCACCACTGACGTCAGGCTCACCGCTCTATAATTGCCTGGATTGTCCTTGGAATATAATGTAGGAAAATACGGAGTTGTTGATTTTGGAAGGGAGATCTAAAGAACAGGGTACATTTTAAATGGATAAAAACTGCAGAAAGCTGCAACACAAAGGGACTAGGGGATACTTGTGCATCGAAAGCCAGTACACAGGCACAGCAGGGAATCAGGAAGGCTCATGGAATGTTGGCCCTTATTTCAAGGGGTTTGGAGTATAAGAGTAGAGAAATCTTACTGTAATTGTACAAGGTGCTGGTGAGACCACATCTGGAGTACTGTGAGCAGTTTTTGTCTCCTTATTTAAGGACATATATCATTTCATTGGAGACAGTTCAGAGAAGGTTCACTAGGATGGTCCCTGATGTGGAGGGATTTTGTTATCAGCAAAGGATAAGCTGCTTGGGACTCTACTCACCGCAGTTTAGAAGAATGAGAAGGGATCTCATTGAAACATATCGGATTCTGAAGGGGCTTGACAGGGTAAATGCTGAGAGGATGTTTCCTCTCATGGGAGAGTCTAAGACCAGAGGGGCATACTCTCCGAATAAAGTAGCACCAATTTCAGGCTGAGATGAGGGGGAATTTCTTCTCTCAGAGGGTTGAGAGTCTTTGAAACTCCTTGCCACAGAGAGCTGTGGGGGCAGATTCCTTGTGTATATTTAAGGCTAAGATAGAGATTCTTGATCAGTTGGGGAATCAAGGGGGAAAGGGCAGGAAAGTGGACGTGAGGCATGTTGGACCAGCCAATGACCCTACTGAATGGCCAAGCAGGTTCGAGGGGCTGAATGGCCTTCTCCTGTTCTTATTCCTTATGATCTTATTGTTTTAATGTTCTTCCTATCACTCTCATTTCATAAGCTATACATTTTCTCACAAGTCTGTTCAAAATCAATGCTGATTCCTAATATTTTTCCTATCCCAAATAATTGTTTCTGGGGCATTCTTGCTCCCATTCTGCTGGCTCTTTTCTGAGTTTTTGTGTGAACTCTGAAAGTGCCCACTGTTTACCCAAGGACAGGTCAGTAGTAAACGGTAAGGACAAGGCCCCTGATACTGACCCCAGCACTGGAAACAAAGCCGTCTCCCTCCCCAGCCCTCCATGAGAGGGCTCACCCCCTCTCTCCTGTCAGTTTGTTGTGCTGTGGCCAACGAGATGTCCATGCTGCCACAGAGGCTTTAGTTCCATGGGTTTCTGGTTTAGTGGATGAACTGCACTCCCATTGTACAGAGCAGTGCCTGACCAACTAAAACTGTGTGTAAGTGATAATCTGAGCAACATTACAGCACTGTCACTGTTTAATTATCCACAGGTTCCAGCTAATTCTGCATGAAATTCTAAATGGCAAAGTACATTTGTTTCTGGAAAGGTGCAGAAACGGATGAATAGTTTCAGTCATCTCCATATTTGTCAGATAGTTAGCTTGCTCATATTGCTGATGAATATTTATTACTGTGATGTGAGAGTGAGGAATGTGCCAGTTAGGAAACACTCTATGCTGCAGGCTGAATTCTGATGTTGTAACTCACCGATCGCCCCCTTTCTCCAGGTGGTCCTGGGTTACCAGCCTCCCCTGTCTCTCCCTGCAAACAGACAAAAAGATCAGTCAAAAACAACATTCTGTATCTGAACCAGGGCGAGAGATTGAAAGCTGTTAGCAGAAAGATGAGAAGGGCTTTGAGAAATCGGGAATGCTGATTGGGAATACACGGCATGAAAGAGTTAGTTAGAGACACAGAAACTCTCATCCCCTTTAAACAAAGATTTGGACATTAACCTGAGGCTGTCACTGTTGAGGATATAGCTGAGAACTGGCACTCCATTCAGGATGCCTGTCCAAATGCCAACACCGACGCAAAGTGGTGAATATCACCTTCTGCCTCATAATCAATGGGAAGATTGTTCACTGAAATGGTTGGAGTCCTGGTGGATGGCACTGTGAGCTAACAAAACCCACAGCCCATTTACAGGAGCTCACCAGAAAGTTGGAATCTCAGGAGTAACACCAGGAGTAACAGCAGTGAGAGGTTCTGCAATAAAGTCCACACCTCCCCGACAACAATGTGAGAAAAAAAGAGAAAAACAATCAATAGAGGGACCCCATTCCCTGCCCAAAGGCCCGTCTTGCAATCAGAAAGGTTTCCCCCTTGAGTACAGCTGATAGCAGCCTGTTCCGAGACAGTGGGCTCGGTCATGAACAGCAAAGCTGACTCCCACTCCTCCTCCGGGGTCACTGTAAGGTCAACATTCACCCCCCATCTCATTCTTGTAGGAAAATTCTCTGTGACTCTTCCTGTATTCCCAAACATTCCCAAGCAATTCCACATATTTCCCAATGGAGTCAGAGAGTTTACCTAACCGAACACACCCCCATCCCAAACATTTCAGGATCTGCTCCTTTATTTTGGGATTTGTGACCCTCCAGTTGTTCTGGGAGTTTTAGGGGAGAATCTCTCAGGGTGGGGGTCTGGGTGTGTTTGTTATTAACACTGTTTTCAGAGACGTGCTTATAAACTCCATGATTCAGAGTGACCAAGGATCCAAAAGCTGGCAGTAATTTCTAATAAAAACCTCTCACCTTCTCACCAACACCACCAGGAGAACCAACACCACCAGATGGTCCTTGAGGTCCCTATAAAAGTGAGAGAAATGGAATTAAAGGAGAATGGTTCTCAGGAACAAAGTGGTAAGACTCTGTTGGATTTGTACTTACATCAGCCCCACTGGGTCCTTGTGGTCCTCTGGGACCAGGAGGTCCAGGTGGTCCCTGTGTGAACAAGATCATTGGAGATTAATATTTGCAAAATGAGCTTTCAATCCCAGATTTCACTCATTAAACCTTCACAACTGCTGTGCTGGGCCTTGACAGCATTAGCTGTTAGATCACAAAGTCAATAGGACACTAATCTAACACAATGCTTCTGCAGTTACCAAACTAAGAATCCTCAATGAGAAACACGGGGATCCCAAAGGATTATACAATCAGAGGCATCAGGACAATTGGTTAGATTGTCTAATATTGGAGATGTCATAGCCTGGCATTTGTGTGGCACGAATGTCACTTGCCACTTGTCAGCCCAAGCCTGGATATTGTCCACATTTTGTTATATTTGAACATGGACTGCTTCAGTATCTGAGGAGTCACGAATGGTGCTGAACATTGTACAATCATCGGCGAACATTCCCACTTCTGACCTTATGATGGAGGGAAGGTCATTAATGAAGCAGCTGAAGATGGTTGGGCCTAGGACACTACCCTGAGGAACTCCTGCAGAGATGTCCTGGAGCTGGGATGATTGACCTCCAACAACCGCAACCATCTTCCTATGTGTCAGGTATTACTCTAACCACCAAAGCGTTTGCCCCCTGATACCCATTGATTCCAGTTTTGCCAGGGCTCCTTGATGCCACACTCGGTTGAATGCAGCCTTGATATCAAGGGCTGTCACTCTCACCTCACCTCTGGAATTCAGCTTTTTTGTCCATGTTTGAACCAAGGCTGTAATGAGATCAGGAGCTGAGTGGCCCTGGCGGAACCCAAACTGGGCGTCACTGAGCAGGTTATTTCTGAGCAGGTGCTGCTTGATAGCACTGTTACTGACACCTTCCATCACTTTACTGATGATCGAGAGGAGACTGATGGGGCGGTAATTGGCCGGATTGGATTTGTCCTGCTTTTTATGTACAGGACATATTTGGGCAATTTTCCACATTGTTGGGTAGATACCAGTGTTGTAACTGTGCTGGAACAGCTTGGCTAGGGGAGGGGCAAGTTCTGGAGCACAAGTCTTCAGTGCTATTGCTGGAATGTTGTCAGGGCCCGTAGCCTTTGCAGTATCCAGTGTCTCCAACCGTTTCTTCATATCACGTGGAGTGAATCGAATTGGCTGAAGACTGGTATCTGTGATGCTGGGGATCACTGGAGGAGGCCGAGATGGATCATCCACTCAGCACTTCTGGCTGAAGATTGCTGCAAATGCTTCAGCCTTATCTTTTGCACTGATGTGTTGGGCTCTTCCATCATTGAGGATGTGGATATTTGTGGAGCCTCCTCCTCCAGTGAGTTGTTTAATTGTCCATCACCATTCACAACTGGATGTGGCAGGACTGCAGAGCTTAGATCTGATCCGTTGGTTGTGGGATCACTTAGCTCTGTCTATCACTTGCTGCTTTCGCTGTTTGGCTTGCACGTAGTTCTGTTTCGTGGCTTCACCAGGTTGGTACCTCATCTTCAGGTATGCCTGGTGCTGCCCCTGGCATGCCCTCCTGCACTCTCTATTCAACCAGGCATTTGGTTTTGTATTTCTGATAAATTCTGGTCTCAGTGATGAACTTACCATGGCACCAACGTCCCCAGTCTCGCCCTTTTCACCTGGTGGTCCTGGCAGACCCTGCATTCATTTCAAAACAGAAGAAAGCAAATTTTTATCAATGGTTTCGTTAGTAATAAAAAAAAGTCTCCCACTCAGACAGAAATATAATCTTCAAACACAATTGGCTAGTTTTTCTGGGACGTGTTGATCTCAAGGGATACACAGCAGGGTCCACCTCCCAATGCACACCTCCTAATGACACTGCAATAACCACTGCCCAATAATCAGAAAAGTCAGTTATTGGCTTCATCTGAAAATAGAACTCACAGAGAAAATACAAAAGCCAATCAAAATAATATCTTGCTAAATTAGAGAATGGTGCAGCATAGAAACAGGCCATTCAGCCCATCATTTCTCAACCATCGGCCTGCAATAGTCCCTTTTTCCGATTTCCTTTTGAAAGTGATGATTGAATCTGCTCCCATTGCCCTTTCAGGCAGCTCATTCCAGATCCCAACAACTCACTGTGTAAAACAATCCCCCTCATCTCCCCCTCTCTGGGGCTTTTCCCAATTCCCTTCAATCTTACAAAATTCTAACAGGACTGGACAGGTTAGATGCAGGGATGGTGTTCCCGATGGTGGATGTGTCTGGAACCAGAAGACACAGTATGAGGATTTGGGGTAGACCATTTAGGACGGAGATGAGGAGACATTTCTTCACCCAAAGAGTGGTGAGCCTGTGGAATTCATTGCCACAGGAAATAGTTGATGCTAAAACGTTGAATGTATTCAAGAGGTGACTAGATATAACACTTGGGGTGAATGGGATCAAAGGTTATGGGGAGAAAGCAGGGTTAGGCTATTGAGTTGGACAATCAGCCATGATCGTGATGAATGGAGCGGACTTGAAGGGCCAAATGGCCTCCTCCAGCTCCTATCTTCTATGTTTCTGTGTTTCTACATAAAACTATTGCCCCCTTCACAACTGTAATCAGCTCCCCTTCCCGTCAATCCCAGTAAAGTTTATAGCTTCTTTACGCTCCCCAGGACCTCGCCATCCTTCCTAACATCCAGCAAATTGGGGCACACAGCTCCTGCTGAGAGCAGGAGATTTATAAATGAGATTAATTCCCTGTCACTCACGGAATAAATAACCGAAACAAGCCTCAGTGCAATGAGGATGATAGGGACAGACAGTGTCTGACTGCTGCTTCCTGGGAGGCAAATGGATGGGATTAATCTGTGAGATCGCTGGGCAGTGGGAAGGTGTAGGGAATGATGGAAGAAATGTCTTTGCACCCACAATAATCAAACCAGCACCTTCGAGCGGACGATGTGAACGGCCCTGTTAAGCAGGTGTGACCAAACAGCATCCCCCTAAGGAGGAAAGATTCACATCTTGACAGACAGAAAGTTTCATTAACTTTGGTAACTGACCCAGTAAATTACAGAACACTCTTTACTCCTGACTTCATCTCCAATCTTATTACCAAATGCTTTTCAATTTATTAAAACCAAAAGGAAAACAAATCAAAGATCGATACTATTGAATACATTGATGAAATGCAGGCTTGTCAGCACTTTGCTCAGAATAATTTCAGAGACCGAGCACAGGATCAGCTTTCAGAATATGTCATGGTCACTGCCCCCACTACCTTCCTCCCCCTGCCAGGGGTTGGTGAGCTTATCTACAAGCCTGACTGCTCCTGCAGTGGTTTAATCCTGGGCACTGTGTTAGTGACTGTAAGGCAAGACCCTCACCCTCTATCAGGGAGACAGCCAACCACACAGATCTGTCAGCTGTGATATTCTCTGCAAACACTCCTTCCTCTTCACTGAGTCTGGGCCTCAGTGAGACAGGATAGATCACCGGTGAGGCTAAATAGAATAGGCATTTGTCTTACAAAATCAGGTCATTTATTGCATGATATCATCAGTTTATTTTCTATGAAAGGACCGTTTCTAAAACCGAGGATTGTGTTCAGCATTGCTGCACACTTTCAAACTTCAGATAGCAACAGCAGCTGTTTGGTTTGTCAGTTATCCATGACAAAGACCTGCCTGCCAACAGCGATGTGATTGGATAACCCTAAGCCTAACCCTATCGCAGCCCTCCTGAAGGGGTGGGGGGGAGGGGGGTTGTCATTTTCTCTGCGATACAAACACCAAGAGTTTGTAGAAAGCCAATTTATATTCACTCACTAGTTGCTCTAAGCTGTGGCTTTTAACACAATTAGTCAGAGACTTTATAACTTTGCAACCAGTTGCTTGGTGCTTCCTACAAGCAACTGAAAGTACCCAGAGATGAGAGATTGAGGAGCAGCAGGTCCTGATGGGCCAACAGGATCATGTCAGTGAACCCTGTGGACTTCAGACATTGATCTGCTTTCTCAGTTTTTTTGTTCCACCCATAGCACCTGGCAACAGCGATGTGATTGGCTCCCGGGGAGCTGAACAGCTTGTGGGTGTGAATATTTAGGATAGAAGCCATTGGAGCTCTGGAAGTGAAGGAGTTGTGCTTCTGTGCTGCAGTAAAAAAACATCTTAAGCCTGAAAGTAGCCAGTTTATTTCCCCCTTCCCATTGTTATTAGCTGTGACTACGACTGAATAAATCCGGTATCAGTCACCCTGTGTCTCCTACAAACAAGGGGAAGTATCTAGAGAAGGAAGATCAAGGGGCAGTATCTGATTAGCAGAAGTATCATCTCAGGAAACCCTGCAGACAGGGGCCTCTGAACAGGCTTCCCCAACCTGACCGTAACACTGTTTTTGTTTCCCTCTGTTTGTCTGTGTAGGGGAGTTTATAACTGGGTTAGATTTTTATCTAGTAGAGTTATATAGTCAACAGTCCATAATTGTTTATCTGTTGCTAGAACATAGAACATTACAGCGCAGTACAGGCCCTTCGGCCCTCGATGTTGCGCCAACCTGTGAAACCAATCTGAAGCCCATCTAACCTAAACTATTCCATTATCATCCATATGTTTATCCAATGACCATTTAAATGCCCTTAAAGTGGGCGAGTCTACTATTTTTGCAGGCAGGGCATTCCACGCCCTTACTACTCTCTGAGTAAAGAACCTACCTCTGACATCTGTCCTATATCTATCACTCCTCAATTTAAAGCTATGTCCCCTCGTGCTAGCCATCACCATCCGAGGAAAAAGGCTCCCACTGTCCACCCTATCTAATCCTCTGATCATCTTGTATGTCTCTATCAAGTCACCTCTTAACTTTCTTCTCTCTAACGAAAACAACCTCAAGACCCTCAGCCTTTCCTCATAAGACCTTCCCTCCATACCAGGCAACATCCTGGTAAATCTCCTCTGCACCTTTTCCAATGCTTCCACATCCTTCCTATAATGCGGTGACCAGAACTGTACGCAATACTCCAAGTGCGGCCGCATCAGAGTTTTGTACCGCTGCAACATGACCTCATGGCTCCGAAACTCAATCCCTCTACCAATAAAACCTAACATACTGTATGCCTTCTTAACAACGCTATCAACCTGGGTGGCAACTTTTAGTGATCTATGCACATGGACACCAAGATTTTTCTGCTCATCCATACTACCAAGAATCTTACCATTAGCCCAGTACTCTGTATTCCTGTTACTCCTTCCAAAGTGAATCACCTCACACTTTTCCACATTAAACTCCATTTGCTACCTCTCAGCCCAGCTCTGCAGCTTATCTATGTCCCTCTGTAACCTGCAACATCCTTCCGCACTATCCACAACTCCACCGACGTTGGTGTCATCCGCAAATTTACTAACCCATCCTTCTACGCCCTCATCCAGGTCATTTATAAAAATGACAAACAGCAGTGGCCCCAAAACAGATCCTTGAGGTACACCACTAGTAACTGAACTCCAGGATGAACATTTCCCATCAACCACCACCCTCTGTCTTCTTACAGCTAGCCAATTTCTGATCCAAACTGCTAAATCACCCTCAATCCCATGCCTCCGTATTTTCTGCAATAGCCTACCATGGGGAACCTTATCAAACGCTTTACTGAAATCCAAATACACCACATCAACCGCTTTACCCTCATCCACCTGTTTGGTCACCTTCTCAAAGAACTCAATAAGGTTTGTGAGGCACGACCTACCCTTCACAAAACCGTGTTGACTATCCCTAATCAAATTATTCCTTTCTAGATGATTATAAATCCTATCTCTTACAATCCTTTCCAACACTTTACCCACAACCGAAGTAAGGCTCACTGGTCTATAATTACCAGGGTTGTCTCTACTCCCCTTCTTGAACAAAGTCCCCTTCTTGAACGAATCTGTTTACTCACAAGTAATAGTTTTTTGTTTGTTAAATACAGAAACCTGGCCCATGTATTCTGTAAATCTGGGTATGAAAATTTAGATAAATTGGGGAATTTTCATACTTCCTTAAATTCTCTAACTTTTGTGATGACTTCAGTAAAAGCAGGGTTTGATTTCTAGTGTGGTAGCCCAGGGAGAAGTATAGATAACACGAAAGAACGTTCACATTAACTTGTTAGACACAATTACCCAGGACCTTCAGGAGCTGTGTGTTACACATCCATTCCTCTCCGGAACACATTGCACCACCTCTACTCAAAGGTGTGCGATATCATCAGACTGGGTGGAGCTAATGCAATTTCTTTAACTCCTTCAGAACCATTACTGCCCAATGATTAGGTCAATTAAAGGCTATAGCTCAGTCTTGGCCACATCCTGTAGGATTTCAGATTGGCCTGTTGTACGGAGGGACTGGACAGCGAGAAGCTCTGTTCTTTCAAACCAGTCATAGCAACACATGAATTCACAACCCAGAGCCAGCACAAGGCCAATCAGCCCATCGTATCTGTGCCAGATCTTTGAACCAACTGTCCATTTAATCACATTTCCTTCCCTTCTCCTTCTTCATAGCACCCTCTGTGATTTTCCTTTCCTAATATTTTAAGAACATAAGAACATAAGAACTAGGAGCAGGAGTAGGCCGTCTGGCCCTTCGAGCCTGCTCCGCCATTCAATAAGATCATGGCTGATCCTTTCGTGGACTCAGATCCACTTACCCATGTTCTCACCATATTCCTTAATTCCTTTATTGTTCAAAAAAATATCTACTTTTTTTTAAAAACGTTTACTGAAGTAGTGTCAACTACTTCACTGGGCAAGGAATTCCATAGATTAACAACCCTCTGGGTGAAGAAATTCCTTCTCAGTTCAGTCCTAAATCTGCTCCCTCTAATCTTGAGGCTATGCCCTCTTGTCCTAGCTTCACCTGCCAGTGGAAACATCCTCTCTACTTCTCTCTTATCTATTCCCTTCATAATTTTATATGTTTCTATATGATCCCCCCTCAATCTTCTGAATTCCAATGAATATAATCCCAATCTACTCAGTCTCTCCTCATAAGCCAACCCCCTCAACTCCGGAATCAACCTAGTGAACCTCCTTTGCATCCCCTCCAGTGCCAATACATCCTTTCTCAAGTAAGGAGACCAAAACTGCACACAGTACTCCAGGTGTGGCCTCACCAGCACCTTGTACAGCTGCAACATAACCTCTCTGCTTTTAATTTCAATCCCTTTAGCAATGAAGGACAAAATTCCATTTGCCTTCCTAATTACTTGTTGTACCTGCAGACCTACCTTCTGTGATTCATGCACAAGGACACCCAGGTCCCTCTGCATAGCAGCATGCTGCAACTTTTTACCATTCAAGTAATAATCCTTTTTACTATTACTCCTACCAAAACGTATGACTTCACATTTATTTACATTGTATTCCATCTGCCAGACCTTTGCCCACTCACTCAATGTATCTATGTTCCTCTGCAAAGTTTCACAGTCCTCTGCACACTTTGCTCTGCCAGTCATCTTAGTGTCATCTGCAAACTTTGACACCCTACACGTGGTCCCCAACTCCAAATCATCTATATAAATTGTAAATAATTGCGGTCCCAACACCAATCCCTGAGGCACACCACTAGTCACTGACTGCCAGCTAGAATAGCACTAATATTTTGAAAGTGATGATTGAATCTGCTCCCACTGCCCTTTCAAGCAGCATGTTCCAGATCCCAACAACTCACTGTGTAAAACCATCCCCCTCAACTCCCCCCTCTGGGGCTTTTCCCTGATTCCCTTCAATCTCCTTCCCTGTGTTCACTAACCCTCCTGCCCCTAGAAACACTGTCTCTTGATTTACTCGATCTAGCTCTCTCTATCATTTTGAACACCTCGGTTAAAGCCCCCAGAACCTTCTCTGCTCTCTTTAGTTCCCAGGAATAAGAGTAGTACCCTCCAGTATCCCCATGCTCGATCAGTGGCTGGGTGTACAGTGAAGTGCAAAGAAACAAACTGCCCCTCAATGAGAAGCTCAATCAAACACAATTTTATTTTAAAAGGGGTGGAATTGAACAGCTGGGAGGTTACACACTGATGCTGCTTGGCCTGCTGTGTTCATCGAGCTCCACACCTTGTTATCTCAGATTCTCCAGCATCTGCAGTTCCTACTATCTCTGTTGGGGGTACTCTCTCTGTCTCTGGACTTAATGTTGAGTTCAACAATTTTAGGGCCTGAGTGCCTTTCCCCATGCCCTTCCCTCCACCCCTAGACATCAGGCCTTGCTCTAACATGGGCTGCTAACATACACAACCCATTGCTACCTACTAATAGTCCCCATTAGCAGCTAATCATTCATTTCATCCAACCTGATCTACTGTATCCGTCGCTCCCCAAGTCATCTCCTCTATATCGGGGAGACCAAACACAGACTCGGGGACTGATTCGCAGAGCATCTGTCTGCACACACCAACCAACCCAACCTTCCAGTTGCCATTCATTTTAATCCCCGCACCCCCTCCCACTGCCCTTGGTGACATGTCCATCCTTGGCCTCATCCACTGTCAGAGTCAGGCCAAATGTAAACTGGAGGAACAACACCTGATATTTCACCTTGGGAGCTTACAGCCCAATGGCCTCAATATTGACTTCACCAGCTTCAACATCCCTCCACCCCCAACCTTATCCCATGTCCAGCCCTCTCGCTCCTCACCTCCCTGACCTGAGCGAAACTGTCCATCTTCCAACTCACCTATCCACTCCACCCTTCCTACTGACCAATCACAATAACCCCCTACCCGTATCCAACTATCACCGTTCCACCTACCCTTCCCCCAGCCCCACCCTCCCTCTATTTATTTCTGGGCTCCCCTCTACCTCCACCTCCTAGTCCTGATGAAGGGTTCAGCCTGAAACAATGATTCCCCTGTTCCTCGGATACTGTTAGACCTGCTGCGCTTTGTCAGCTTCACATTTATTGATTCATTCCTCCACACTGACTTTTACCCACTCCTTTGTCTGTTCGACTGTTTTTCTCTCTCCTTGGGCTCTATCTCCACCTATCGTTTACTCCTTACCCTCACAACCCTATCCTCCCCACATAAGTCGACTTTTTCCGAGTTACCATCAGTTCTGAAGTAGGGTCACTCGACCCCAATGATTAATTCTGATTTCTCTCCACAGATGCTGCTAGACCTGCTGAGCTTTTCCAGCAATTTCTGTTTTTG